AGATCGACGTACCAAAACTGAGTAGCCGCTGGCCTCACCTAGCCGACAGCCCCAAGATCGTTGGAGCCAACACGAAGCCAAGACTCTTGATAGGCCAAGACAACTGCCACCTTATTCTTCCCCGCGAGGTAATCGAAGGACCGCCGAGCGCGCCAATGGTGACGAAATGCAAGCTAGGCTGGTCAGTACATGGCAATGACAGGGCAGGAGTCCCACAGATCGAACATTGCCACCTTGCAAGAACCGCTGACGATGACCTCCATCAGCTCGTCAAGGAGTCATTCAGCACGGAGTCGTTTGGTGTGAAGGTCACCTCCAACAAGACCAGCTCGAGGCAAGAAGTCCGTGCCGAGAGGCTGCTGGAGTCCACCACCAAGCGAGTTGGCACCCGTTGGGAGACAGGTCTGCTATGGCGCTCGAGTGACATCGCCCTCCCCGAGAGCTACGAAATGGCCAAATCGAGGCTGATGTCTCTGGAAAGGAAGATGGACCGAAACCCAGCCTATGCAGATCAGTACTGCTCTAAGATTGCAGAGTATGTCGCTACAGGCTATGCGAGAAAGCTGACAGAGGAAGAGCTGGACCAAGACACCGTTGGCCGCAGGTGGTACTTGCCACACTTTGGAGTAGTTAACCCCAACAAGCCAGGGAAAATTCGCCTGGTGTTCGATGCAGCAGCGAAAAGCAACGGCATGAGCCTTAATGATGCTCTAGTCAGTGGACCAGATCTCCTCAATCCTCTCCCGAGTGTCCTCTTCAAGTTACGGCAACACCGAATTGGTTTCGGCGGAGACATCCAACAGATGTTTCATCGGGTACTCATCAGGAAAGAGGATCTGCCAGCACAGAGATTCCTGTGGCGAGGGCGTGACCGTGACCGAGACCCAGACGTCATGCAAATGACAGCAATGACATTTGGTGCCACATGCTTGCCGGCAGCCGCTCAGTATGTGATGCGAAAGAACGCCTCGGAGTTCACCGATCGGTGGCCTGACGCCGTACGGGCCATCTGTGAGAATCACTATGTCGATGACTACTATGACTCCACCGATGATGAAGAACAAGCCAGAAACCGAGTGGACCAGGTGTCGGCCATCCACGATGCTGGTGGGTCCTCATTCGCCACTGGGTCAGCAACTCCAGAGAGCTGCTGCAGCACATTCCAGCAGAGCGCCGAGCAGTTGACGCACCGACATTCAACAGCGGCACGGAGCTGCCCATGGAGCGAGCGCTTGGTCTGAAGTGGGACCCAGAGATTGATCAATTTAACTTCCGCCTCAGTCAACGCCTCGTTGACCAAGAAGCTAAGTCGTCCCGGCCAACAAAGCGACAGGCACTCCGCATGATCATGTCAGTGTTCGACCCGATGGGGTTTCTATCCTGTCATACCCTAGCAGCACGAGTCCTTCTGCAAGATGTTTGGCGCACTGGAGTTGGGTGGGACCAACCCCTACCGAACAGTCTGCTGATAAAGCGGCGTCAGTGGTGGGGAGGTCTCCGCGAGCTAAGTCACATCGTTGTACCCCGCTGCTACTGCCTGAGAATGTCAACGAGGAAGTCATGTCAGCTTCATGTCTTTGGCGACGCCAGCGAGGACGGCTTTGCAGCCGTCGCATACTTTCGAACAACTCTTGAAGACAGGACCTCTCAAGTCTCTTCCGTCCTGGGCAAGAGTCGTGTCGCCCCGTTACGGCCGATTTCCATCCCAAGGCTCGAGCTACAGGCGGCACTCATGGCTGCAAGAATAGCACGGACGGTTCTGGAAGGGCACGACCTACTCATCGACAGCACAACGCTATGGACAGATTCAATAACAGTCCTTCGGTGGATTCAGGCAAATGCCAGGAAGTTCAAGCCGTTCGTCGCCCACAGAGTCGGTGAGATCGATGAACTATCTGCAGTGTCACAGTGGAGGTGGGTGCCAACAACCCTCAATCCAGCTGATGCCGCAACGAGAGTACTGCCAGATGTCCAAGGCAGACAACTTCATTGGCTTCAGAGTCCGAAGTTCTTGCAAGCTCCAGAGGCTGATTGGCCAGAGGAGACCACACATGCGAAGGCTACTGACGTAGATGCTGATCGTCAGGAGATAAAGGCAGAGTTCACCGGAATGCACACCGTGCCAGAGCCGTTGGTCTTACCAGACGCCAACAGTTATTCATCGTGGATGAAGCTGGTGAGAGTCACGGCATGGATGGCTCGATACGTCAAGAACCTGCGGGCCAAGGCAGCCGGAAAGCCAGCCACTGTTGGGGAGCTCCTTCCGACAGAGTTCCAAAGGGCTCAAGAGCTGTGGTGGCTCAGGACTCAAAGAGACAGCTTTGCAGGTGACGTTGCAGAACTGAAGAAAAATGGGTCTGTGACGAAAGCGAGTCGTTTGTACACTCTGTCCCCAACCATCGATGGAGTTGGTGTGATCCGCATGAGTGGACGGGTCAGGACCGCACCGAGTGGGAGCGCCATTGATCTGGATCCGGTTATCCTGCCACCAGATCACGCGTACACTCGACTTATGCTCCAACACCTCCACGATATCTGTGGTCACCAAGGACAGGCTCAGGTAGCCAACGAGATCCGCCGACAGTACTGGATACCGGGACTACGTACTGCGGTGCGGCGCACATGGTCCGTTTGCCAACGCTGTAAGAATGATCGCTCCAAGCCGATACCTCCGCAGATGGGCAACTTGCCCGAGGGGAGAACAGCTGCTTTTGTCCGCCCGTTTACGCACTGTGGTTTGGATTACTTCGGGCCTCTGGAAGTGACAGTTGGCAGGAGACGTGAGAAGCGGTATGGTGCTATCTTTACATGTCTCACCACGCGAGCAGTTCATCTTGAGATCGCTCATAACCTAACAACCGACAGCGCTAGCATGGCGATCCGAAGAATGGCCAGTCGACGAGGCTACCCGGGAGTCCTGTACTCTGACAATGGCACCAATTTCCATGGCGCCGAGAGAGAGATGCGTGAGGCCTTGCAAGACCTTGACCGGGAGAAGATTACGGGATTCCTGACGCCGAAGGGAGTGGAGTGGCGTTTCAACCCGCCAGCAAGTCCGCACATGGGTAGAGCCTGGGAGCGACTCGTTCGCTCTGTGAAAACCGCCCTGAGTGAAGTGTTACACGAGAGGTCTCCTAAAGAGGAAGTCTTAACGACTCTGTTCGCTGAAATTGAAGCAACCCTGAACAGCCGCCCGTTAACCCTTTTACGGTCTCACATTTGAAAATCGATCACCGGTGATCGATTTTTTCAAACTATCGTAACTCAGTCAATTTTTGAGCAAATTCGAACATCTAAATATCTAGGTTGAAGAGAAAGCTCCAGGCTATCCGTAGGAACAATCGCCGAAGCGATAGAGTGAACGGCTGCGATGCTACGGAGCTCGCGATCTGCGTCACGGCTCATTTGCGATTTGAGTGGGCGAGCTGGGTCTTGAGGACGGGTTTTTCCCTTTGCAGCTAGCTGTCGCCATAGAGACGCGGATTCAAATGAAAGTATGGACTCGCAGCACTCCCCACAAAAAATGTGAGCTCGATGTGAGCAAGGAGAGGGAAATGGCTGTTGAATCTTGTTTGTCGTCGTGAATCAAGCACTGGGGCGATGTCGCTGCGCTGCAGCGCTGGATCCACGGCACGCTTGGTGTCGAATTGTAGCTCGGCGTGTTGCTCGTGTCCAGAGCTTTCCAGAGAGCCCAAGATCATGAAAATCAGCGAAGGGAAACTGAAGTTATGGATGAATCAAGGTACGAAATTGTTGAATTCTGTAAATAGCCTCATTTTGACTGGATTCTGAGACCGTGAAAGGGTTAACTCATGTATCATGCGACCCAAAGGACGAGGACAGCCTGACCCCGAACCATTTTCTGCTTGGGACACCAGCTCAGATGCACCCACCAGGACTCTTCACGGAAGATGACCTCTGCCTCAGGAAGCAGTGGCGCATAGCACAGACCCTCGCAGCCCACTTTTGGCGACGCTGGCTAAAATAATACCTGCCCTGCCTCCAAAGGAGGACGAAATGGCATGGTGCCGATCCAAGCCCTGTGAAGCCTGACGACATTGTTGTGATCGCCGATGGAAGCCTGCCGAGAGGCACTTGGCCGAAGGGACGTGTTACTGCTGTCTATCCCGGCCCAGACGGACCAGTGCGAGTAGCAGATGTACAGACGCAGACCGGCACCCTCCGACGACCTGTCAGTAAGATCTGCGTCCTGGATGTCCGACGATAGGGTGACCGATGGATCGTCACCGGAGGGGGGGGGGGGGAGGATTTTGGCAAAACTACTGCTTTTCAACCACCTGACACCTCTTTCTACTGTGTGATTATGTTATCATTCATGCCCGTTGGTAGTGATTCCCGTTGTATCCATGCTGCTGGTTGCACTTGTGATCATCATAACTGTATTGCGTGAATGCATGATCCTTCTCGTGTTTCATTGCGGTGCCACTATGGATCTATGGCCCGATGCTTAGGTTATAGTGCATTGTAGACTTACTTTTCTTTGTGTATTTTCAGTCCACACCGCAGACTGCGTGATCTGCCTGTAGCTGTGCGCAGAATCCTGACGCTGCGTGTGTGGTATTTGTTTCTTTCGCTTCCGGTGCATTCTTACTGTACGGTGTGGATCTACCCTTGTGCATAAATTAGCCTGTAGCCCTCTTTAGTGGCGGGCTTTTTTCCTTTGTTCCTTGCTGGCAGAGTGTGCAATTATGAGTTGTGTGAAAAGAGAACCTTCCAATACTCAACTTCAGAACTCGTGGATGTTCTAAACTTGTGGGGTACAGTTGAGCCCTGGGCTCGACTTGTACAAGAAACAGAAATACTGCAATGAAAACATCCTAGCAAAGAAGTGCGTTCGGAACATTTGGGGGGGGGGGGGGGACCTTGCAACAGGAACCCCCACCCCCATGCATACTGGTCTGCACTCATTAGCCAAAGTAGCACATTCCTGGGTCATGCACTCCTGACTATAACAGTGCCAGGGATCACACTTAACTCAC